TTTCCCATTACCTGTGAAACTAGTCCAGGTGAGGTTGCGTATGTCGTATCCCCTACTTTCCCAATACCTTCCTTAAGCCACTGCAGCTGCAGCCTTCCTTTGACCGATTTTATTGTATGCATCTTCAGGTAGTCCTTCTGGTCATGCCATGGGGTCTTCTGGGGTCTACTATGTCATGGTAACAGCATTGCTATCACAACTATTGCCACAGAAGCGAAACACCCTGAGAGGCAGGTAAGCTCTACGTGCCTGCTGGATATGTGAGAGCTGGAACTGAGAGAGCTCCTTTTTTGCTCTTCTGTCCTGTAAATAAGGATACCTTTCCCCATTCCCATTTCCCTTTAAGGGGAAGGTATTGATACTAGACGATGGAAGAAAAAACATACCTAAACATTGTCTCAATTCACTATTTCATTTTCAGGTAGTTGATGTTTTTATTTGTTTGTGATAATTGATGCCACAATTCACATATTAAATATTATCTATATGCAACATGAAATAAACTGTGTAGTTATACAGTCGTATTAAAGCTGATTATAAATCAGCAATAACTTTCATGAAATCAAGATCAAGATTCAAAATTGAAGCATTATACAGGTATAATGATTTGACTTATGACCACAATTCAGCCCAAAATTTCTATTGCTCATTGAGACATTTGTTAAGTGAATTTTGCCCCATTTTATGACCTTTCTTACCACAGTTAAGTGAATCACTGCAGTTGTTAAGTTAGTAACATAGTTTTTAAATGAATCTGGCTTCCCCATTGACTTTGCTTGTCAAAAGGCTGCAAAAGGTAATCGCATGACCCCTGGGCATGGCGACAGTCATAAATATGAACCAGTCACCACGCATCTGAATTCTGATCACATGACCATGGGGCTTCTACAACAGTCATGTTAAAAACGTTCATAAGTCTCTTTTTTTAGTGTCGTAACTTTGGTCAGTAAAAGAACTAAGTCGAGGATCACCTGTATTTGTGGAAAATTGGATTTTGTGGAGTTTCAGTGTCATCCTTCGACTAATTTTTTTTTTCAGTTGATTTGACAAATGTGTGCGTTGAAACATAATTATGAAAACATCTGACTGATTAACTTGTTTCAGGGAATAATCTATTTGTTAGGAAGTGCCACACAAAAGGAGATAACAAAATGTATTTTTTGACTGCCAAACTGATTAGATAAATTTATCTAATCATACAGTAAGTGAAGCCACAGCAGACATCTTGTCAGTTTAACACAAGTACACAAACATGAATATCCATTTGTTGTTAATTGCGAAGTCGTGTCCAACCCATCGCAACCCCATGGACAACGTTCTTCCAAGTCTTCCTGTCCTCTACCATCTTCTGGAGTTCATTTAAGTTCACACCTACTGCTTCAGTGACTCCATCCAGCCATCTCATTCTCTGTCGTCCCCTTCTTTTATTGCCCTCAATCTTTCCCAGCATTAGGCTCTTCTCCAGTGAATTCTTCCTTCTCATTAGGTGGCCAAAGTACTTGAGTTTCAACTTCAGGATCTGGCTTCTAAAGAGCAGTTGGGGTTGATCTCTTCTAGGACTGACCGGTTTGAACGCCTTGCAGTCCAAGGGACTCGCAGGAGTCTTCTCCAGCACCATAGTTCAAAGGCCTCAAGTCTTTGGCGCTCAGCCTTTCTTATGGTCCAACTTTCACAGCCATACATTGCAACTGGGAAAACCATGGCCTGGACTATACGCACTTTTGTTGGCAGGGTGATGTCTCTGCTTTTTAGTATGCTGTCTAGATTTGCCATAGCAAATCTTCAAAAAAGTCAGGATGAGGGCAACAGTGGAATGAATAAAGTTCTGCCAGGTTTGTATGTATGCATGTATGCAGAACATATAAAAAACAGACAGAACTTTGATTTCATTATCCTGGCTATTATCTTAACTCTTTTTAAATCACAATGCACACTGCAGCACCCCTATACACCATATAAAATCTCAAAACTACTGGTGGTTCCAAAATCTTGGATGCAATCCCCAAATCCAAATGCTTTTAAATATAATTTTATTAACGTTTTTTTTAAAGGAAGATTAAAAACTAATACAACTAAGAAAAGAAGAAAAATAAAAATGAAAGTTAAAAGTGCAAGGGGGTAAAATAAAAGAAAAATAGAAAAGAAAAAAGAAATAGCTTCCAATCTTTACAGCAGTTATAAGCACAATTATAAATTCACCTCTTTATAGTTACAACGTAACTCTCTATAATCTAACCTAATTCATTAAAACTATAAATTATAAATTCATTTTTTTTGTTTAAGTAAAACGTCCATTAGAGGTTTCTAGGCAGCAATATATAAATAAATCCTTTCTCTGATCAAAGTGGTCAATTTGGCTATATTAGTAAATTTCATCATTTTTACTAACCATTCCTGTATTCTGAGTAGTGCCAAATTTCTTCATCTTTGCATATACAATAATCTTGCTGTAGTTATACACAAAAACAAAGTTCTATGGCTTCTAACTGTTCATCAATCCCAAAATAAACACTTCTGGTCTCAATTGTATATTTATCTTTAAAATCTTCTGAAACAGTGTGTGTGTGTGTGTGTGTGTGTGTGTGTGTGTGTGTGTGTGTGTGTGTGCGTTCTGGCACAACATTCAAAGGACAAATTGGCCTTTAGTCTAAGATGTCCCTCGAGTGCAATTAAGAACTGCTTTTGCCCTGAAACTTTCCATCCTCCCCATTCCAGATGTCTGCATGGTCTTCTTTGGGCAGGATTTTGGGCTATACAAGTCTGTGTCTGCTTGTCCCGAGTGTTCATTGCTGCACATTTCCCACATCAAGTGATTGCAGGTGTTATTTCAGGTAAGCTATTCCTAGTCTTGAATAAATAAAAGAATAAAACCCTGTAAGTAAATATCAAGATAATGCCAACTCAATGAATGATTGACTTATTCTACAGGCATGCTGGTAGCTGTGGTTTTTGAACAAATCCATTCCATCTACACTGCCAGCTTCATGCGATACGTTGGAACTATTGGCTTCCTCTTTGGTTTTGCCTTAGGCTTCTATCTGCTGCTCAAGATGCTGGGTGTAGATCTCTTATGGACACTTGAGAAAGCCCACAAATGGTGTGAACAGCCTGAATGGGTCCATATTGACACAACCCCTTTTGCCAGTCTGTTACGCAATCTGGGCATTTTGTTTGGGCTGGGATTTGGACTCAACTCCCCAATGTATACAGAAATGTGCAAAGGGAAGCAAAGCCAAGGGCTGATCTTCCATTTCAGTTGCATCATTTTTTCATTGCTGGTCCTGCACCTGTTTGATTCCTTTGAACTACCCACTGATCAGGAGATCCTTTTCTACATTCTCTCATTCTGTAAGTGCACTTGCGCCCACATCTGTGCAGTGGCCCTGATCCCCTATAGCATTTTCTGCCTCCTTCAGCCATTGGACAAGAAAGATTTATAAGGAACAAATGTCCTGCAATAGAGAGCAACTTTGGACACGTATCTTCAACTCTGAAGACTAAAGGTTTATAAACTAAGATATGTTGTTGTCTCTTTTGTGGATGATTAAACAGTGTCTTAATCCCTTCCATATACTGATGAATATAGCTGTCTTCAGACAGAAATAATTTGATATCCTGGTTGGACAGGGAGGAAAAGTAGATAGTTTAACCAGAAAATAAAAGCTGAGTGGCATCTGGGATGTCTCTTAGAAAAGCTTCTGAGGAATTCCAACCAGAATAGAAGACTAACTTATCTGTTAGTTTGCAAACAAGCCAGAAACAGTTACAATCAGAGTTTTAATAGTAGCCTGGAAGAACTATTCGCTGTATTTGCATTGTCTGCTCCCCCCCCCCCACATACCTGCATTCTGGTTCCTTTTCCATGTTCATCATACATTTTCTCTTTTTTCATGTGAATGTTTGTGCATTTATCTCCAACCAATGTTAGGCACAAATCTTGCTTTTCACCATTTTCTTATACTTTGGGCCAAGTTATCTTATATTCAATCCTATATTTAGGCAAGACAAGAAACAATGGATGGAAACTAATCAAGGAGAGAAGCAACCTAGAACTAAACAGAAATTTCCTAATGATGAAACAATAAATCAATGGAAAAGCTTTCCTCCAGAAGTTGTTAGGTGCTCCATTACTGGAGGTTTTTAAGAGACTGGACAACCATTTGTCAGAAATAGTATAGAGTTTCCTGCTTGAGCAGGGGGTTGGACTAGATGACCTCCAAGGTTTCTTCCAACTCTATTACTCTACGTTCTAATCAATTTACTGCCATTCTGATGTTGTGATGGAGGCTTTTTCTTTCACTTGTAATCAGATGTTTGGTACAGAATAAGCAGAACCATAAACCATCAGATATATTCAGGGTTAAATTTGTATACCATTTTTTAACACCAAAAGGATTTATGCACTTTCTTAGACTCACATTTCTATGCCTGCTTTTCAAAACATGATTCAGAATCCTATCACAGTACTTTTTGCACAAAGTTATGTACTCAATAGCTTGAACATAAGGTGAACTATGTAGTAACAGGCTATTACATAAGAAGAAAACTTATGAACCTTCCTCTCATTATTATTATGCTGTCTAGTGGTGCAATGTTTAGAATGCAATATTGCAGGCTAATGCTGCTTACGGCCAGGAGTTCAATCCCGATAGGCTCAAGACTGATTCAGCCTTCCATCCTTCCGAGGTCGATAAAATAAGGACCCAGATTGTTGGGGGCAAGATGATGACATTGTAAACCGTTGATCCTAAGATATAACAGGATTTTTTTAAAAAAAAAAAACCTTTCCAATTTGGTACTTTCCAGGTGTGTTAGGAATACAAATTCCAAAATGTCCAACCAAGAATTCTGAGAATTCTAAACATACCAGTCCTCGTATATTCAGAGGAGGCCAAATTAGACAAGACTGAGCAAAGAATTATGTCTGTTAAACTCCTTTTCAAATGGTTCAGCAGAAAACAACATACACTATTAGAAACAAATACATCAGCAAACATCTGCAGTGTTTAATTTGTGATACCGAAGCATCACAAATTTTATGGAACGTGCATCATAACACATTTCTGAAAAATGCAATTCTTCTCAATACCAAAAAAAAAACCAAAAAAACCCTGCTTGGTTTATGGTAAAGCTTCTTCCTACAGATATAAGATAGTTTCCAGACATGCTTGTTTTACATATCACACCTCTTACATATTTTATCTCTTTGATATCTAGTAATATCCCTCTGTGATATTAGACCAGTGATCATTCTTTTCTGCTGATACTGACATGCTCAAAAAACAAAAACAGATTATTGTATTATTAAATAGTCCTTAAGGAACAATTATGGCAGAATCATTTGCTTCTTCCCTAACTGCATTATTGTTCGGATGCCCAGTCATTGTTCCGAGTTTTATTTGCTGGTGAATGCCCGAAGAAGGGCCTCCACTTCCGATCGTTGGCTCATCCTTGTAGCTTTGCCCTGATAGCGCCCATGTTTCTCTGCTCCTTTTCCTTCCAGTAGTTCAGCAACTCTTGTGGGAAGAAGAAGAGGTGAATCAGTATGTTCAGTTAGATTGGATTGTCCTTACTCATCAGTTGGGCAATTAATAAAACAACAGACCAGAGCTCCATTCTCAATGGTCGCCAAATTAATAGCTTGATTGTACTTCTTCAACTGTTGTGAATAACTCACCTGGGACCCAGTTTCTCCACTGCTTCTGAAGGCCCTGCCAACAGAAAAAGCCCAGCTGCTTTTTCATCTCCCACAGATAAGAAAAGGAGGGTTTCCTGTTGAAAGGATAGTGTTTCAGATCTAACGATGCTAAACAAATTCTTTACAAGTATAATTAAATCACTGCTCAACAGTGCCACTGTATAGGAATATTTAAATCAGGATTTTGCTCATGAAATGCCCGAATTGCGATTATCTGACAATGGGAACATCACAACAGCCATACATCAGGAACAGTCATAAATCTCCTTGTTCAATGCTATTATATTATGAATGTTCAGTGCTGTTATATTTCATTGAACAAATGGTTGTTAACATGGTCTACCTGTATCATAAGTAAGAACTTCCTTTAAATTTAAAATAGGAAATCTTCAACAAATAAAAGATTTGTTGAAGATTTCCTATTTTAAAAATTCAGAGAAACAAGAAAAGACTCACCGTAGAGCCAAATTCATTTGCAATTGTATTCATAAACTCAGAGTCACCATCTTTTCTGTAGAAAGGAGAAAGATATTTCATGATTCCCTAAGAACAATAGAAAAATTCTTTCCTGTTTTTAAATTTTTATAAGAAATAATTCCAAACTTGCACTCTCATACCACTCTGTGTAACAGATCTGTCAGCTACACAAAAAGGAAACCATCAATGCCTAGATTGGTTTGATAATTTAATTAGTATTAACTTCATCTTTTTTTTTTTTGAAAATTTTTAAGTTTTACAAAAAAAATTCCCTTCCCCAAACCCTCCGAACCCTCCCCTACCCTCCCCCGACCTTTCCAGAGTTGAATACAGGCTTAATTAAAAAAAAATTTAAAAAAAATCTTAAGACACATATAAACCATAAACAAATCTAAATACATTAATTAAACAAATTATAAAATAGTTAACAACAATATCTAAAAAAAATACAAGAAGAAAAAAGAACAGAAAAAGAAAAAATCAAATAAAAAAAGAAAAATTAAAAAATTAAAAAAAATGTCTATAAAATATCTTAAATTTTAAATATAAATTATTCAAAAACTAAATAAGAGAATCTATGGGGTATTAGTAGAATTGGATTCAGAAGCAGAATTAGTTAAAGAATGTATGATTAAATGGGCACAAAATTTTGATGAACCGGTTCCATTAGACACTTGGGAGATTATTTGGGTGAGGAATGTTAAATTTACACAAGCCCAAAATTTAAGGGAAAATTTTTATAAAATGTTTTATAGATGGCATCTTGATCCACAAAAAATGTCTCGTATGTATCCTGACTTGCAGCCTAAATGTTGGAGATGTGGATGTTTGGATGCTACTTATTATCATATCTGGTGGTCATATAAAAATATAAAAGCTTTTTGGATTAAGATATGGTGGAATATTCAAAGAATTTTTAGAAGAAAGATAAAATTTACCCCACAATTGTTTTTGTTAGGTATTGTTTCTGATTGTGATAGTAAAGAGATTATATTGATGTTAAATTTAATCACAGTGGCCAGGTTGTTAGTAGGGCAATGTTGGAAGAAGGAATCTTTGCCTACTTTGCAAGAGTGGTTTCTTAAAGTTTCTTATTTGGCGGAAATGGCAAAGATTTCGGCTTTCCTGAAAGATCAATCGCAAGAGAAATACCTCCTGGTATGGAAAAAATGGATAGATTTTATACAATATAAGTTGGATATAAACTTCAGCTTTTTGGAGATTTAAAATATAACAATGCTTGATGGAGCTTCAAAGAATTTATTATTAAAGTAAAAATAGAGTTCTCAAGATACTAAAATATTCTTGTTGATAACATTAAATATCATTTCATGTTTGTGGGGTATATGGGAGATGAAGGTGACTTCCATTTTCTTGAATTTCTAATTTCTAATTATCTAAGACATTCGTTGGTTCTACCATACTGACATTGTCAGACTGGTGTTGACTCTTAGCAAACATATAAATAGAATTTCTCATGGTGATTTGCCAAACTAGCCAAGCTTAAACATGAGGAGTCTTTTGCCTCACCTGTGTAAGACAAATACTGGCTGTTGAGCTGAGGTGTTTCTGAAGTTCTGCGCTGTAAGAACAGCTAAATCTCTTAGCAAATTCACATTATTCTGAAAAAAGAAGTACATCATGGATATGTTACACTCAATCAATTCCATTCAGCAAAGATTAACCGACTGAGGAAATGTCTGAGCAGAGAAATTCCTAACAAGGTAAAGAAGGGCAAGGATGCAATAAATGTTACTGAGCTTCTCCACCATGATCAAGCTATAGTGTACCCATCTGGATTCTAAATCACATGTAATTTTGTGCTGGGAGAACAAACCTTGAATGATCCTAAAATTAGGTACAATCTGCCTGCAACTGGTTCTCAATCATGTCCTTCTAGAGACTGGACGACATCTTTCCAGTTGAGCCAGAACCATTCTGAAAATTGCATAGTCGCTATCATTCCTGACTAACCCAACTTCCTCAAACCTGATTTCTATATTCTGTCACTAAACATGCTTTTCTGTAAATTGCTTACCAATGTTTTATTTTAACATAAAGTTGTCGGTGTTATCTTGCTGTGGCTACTGTAAAGTGAGGCCTGAAACTTTCCATGGCAGAAAATGAAGTGACATAAACGTACCTTCTGAAGTAGTTTCAGAGAGCTCTGCAGCCTTTTCACAGCTTCTACATGTTCTTCGGGACCATTCCTAAAATACAAAGGCAACCACAGGACTCAGGAAAGACTGTATAGTATCTTATTGAGCGTAAGCTTTGAGGAGAAATTTGTGAGAGGAACAACTTGTGTTAATAGGGGATGTAGAACTGAATTGTAATAGGAATTGCTGTATGATTTCAGAACATTTTTTTTTAGGTTAGGAACAATTTTTCCATACATTACTTATGAACTTTAAATATACTTAAATAAAGTATCTATTCCTCTTAAGTAAATAATTAACCTTTGCGCCATTAATTCTGGATTTAAGAAAAATCTCAAAGTTCAGCTGCTTTTCCTTCTACTGCTTAAGTGGAATTCTCAGGCCAATAAGTCTGAAATAGTTTCTTTGTGATTGTGTGTAGAGATGCCCATTAGTGATATACAAAAAAATAGAATACTTGCTTAAGCAGTGATGTCAGGGCCTTTTCAGTGGCATGGCTTCGATCCAGACTTTTCAGCACCCGATTGCCAGCAAGAAAAATTAAGTTGATTTTGTTCTTTTTCCCCTTTTCTGTACCCAAGAGTTTAACGACCTTTTGAACAAACACATACTAACTCAGATTAAAAGACTTTACAAGCACAAAGAGGCTATTTTGGTTCTGTAGGGCAGTCTGACATGCACATCTGAAGAAATTCAATTTATAAAACTCTTGAATGTGGGGCCTCACCTGCAGGTCACTGAGATTGGAGACATGTGTGCCACAACACATATTGGCATCAATACCTTCAATGCTTATTATCCGAACTGGCCCAGTATGATCATCTGGCAAGCCACGGCTTCTTACCTATAATACAGTATCTGGTTAAAGAAGAATACAAAGTAGTTTCTTTTTCCACTACTGCAGCCCAAACTTACCATCTCAACTTCAGGATCACCCACAGCAAACTCTCGTACCATCACAGGGACTCGAGCTCGAATTTTTTCATTCACACTCTGCTCAAGGACTGTCACCTGATCTACCGTCATTGATGAGGTGTCTAGCTCAATAGTGCTTCGCTGACGGCCCAGCTCCCTACAATGGTTAAAGAAAGGCAATATTCCCCTCACTTGTTATGGAGAAAATGTAGATCCACAAAGAGGATTCTTGGCTGTTCTATGATCTTCTTTTGATTAAGAATTAGAGTGGAATGAAATGGGTACAGCAATATTATGCATGTTTATCTGGAAATTACATAGCTTATTAACCCTTGTGCAAATATGAATTGTGGTGAAATCAGACTTTAATCTCATTCACTAGTTTAACATTCAAACCTTCATTTGTTCATTCATTTATTCATTCATGCATTCATTAATTCATTCATGGAATTTCTAGGCTTGCCAATTCCAGAACAACTCTCTGAAACTTCCCAATAAAAAAAAAAGATAAAAATAATATCAAATTAAATGAACAGTAGCCTGAAGGGAACAAAAACAAAAACATTCATGAATAATTTAAAAAGGTCCAAAGATACATTGACCCAAGGCCCAGGAAAACAGCTAGTTTTTTAAAGGTAATTTAAGGACATGGGCAGAGGGGATTGTACAAATACCTGTAGGCTATAGGATGCTGTTCTAGAAGCAGGGGAAACAATAGAGAAGGCTGATTCCTTGAATATCCTTGATGACACTGTTTGATTGACATGACCCAAAACAAGCCAACTCTGTTGACTCGTAAGAGACAGGCAGACACTATAGCTGACAGTCTCTCAGATAACTAGGTTCTACATCATGTAAGTCTTTAAATGTGAAAACAATACCTTGAATTGACTATGGAACCTTATTGATAATCAGTGCAGCTTGAGGGATACAATTGTTACAAGGGCATAGCAAGATCTGCCTAGCACTGGAATAGCTTCCATTTCTGCATAGACTTCAAAGGCAGTCCCAAGTAGCATATTGCAAAATTCACTTGCAAGATGATCAAAGCATGCATGATTATAGGGAGGGCCTCCTAATCCTGGAACAAGTGCAACTGCACAAGTCAAATCTGCACAAAGCCCTTCCTGACCATAGGTGCCATTTGTTCTTCGAGCAGAACCTGAGGTTCCAAGAAAATTCCCAGATTATGCTCCAATCTGAATGGGGCACTGCAATCTCATTCAGAACCAGAGATGAGAGATCACCCGAACTGGGTAGTCCAAGAACCCACAGTCGCTTGATCTTGCTAGGGTTAAATCCATCCAAATTCCTATAGCCTCCAGGCATTAGAACAAGACTTTGGCAGCATTGCTTGGATGGCCAGAGTCAAAATGTACAAAACCACAATTAACCTCTCTCAATGGCCTCATATAAATACTAAACAAAAACGGTGACAGTGTCAAACTCTATGGCATCTCGCACATCAGGAGCTTCAGACTTGACCTCTCAACTCCGATCAATATTGAGTGGACCTGGACAGTCTAGAAAAATACACAATCAACAGTATCAAAAGCCACTGAGAAATCATAAAGGGCCAGGATAGTTGAACTATTCCTATCTAGACTGCACCATAATTGTCAACAAGCATAATCAGTGATTTCTCAATACAATGCAACTGAAAAGGTCCAGATTATCTTTTTATTCCAGGGCCCCATGTAGTTGCAGTCCAACTAGTTTCTCAACAATCTTTTCCAAAAAAGGGGGAGCTTCTGGTACAGGGCGACGGCGATGGCGGCTACCTTGTACCTGTCCAGCTGGGAAGGTGTCAGAATCGCGGAGCGCAGCGCGTATCAGCTGGCCTGCGGTTCGGAATTCCCTTCCCGGGCAAAGGGAAGGGATAGAGAACGCAGGAGTAGAGGTAGAACCCCTGAACCCCCTCTGGATTCATTCCTAGAGGGGGTGAAAGGAGTGTTCCCTCGGAGCTCCTGCTGATCTCTGCCTCCCAGCTGTTTTTGCTTCTTGGAAGCAAAAGAAACCGCCGCCTCTATCTCCGTGAATATAGCGTCCTGGTGAGTAATTTTTAAAACGGACAGAGCGGCTTAAAGGATTCTTTTATATAGTTTAGGGTTTTATTTTTTTCTTTTATTTAGTTTTGGTTATCTCTCCTTTGTTCTTTCTTTTGTTGATACGGAGACAGGAAATAAGATGGCGTTTTGAAAGTGTCGGAGTTTTTTTTTCCCTTTGTTTCTCTTTTGTTTTTAAAGAACTGGACTTTAATGATTTTGCTTTTGGTTTTTTTTTGTTTCTGGTACTGGATTTCTCTTTCGATTTTTTTTTCTCTTTTTTCCTTGCATTTTTAAGGATTATAGTGCTTTTGCTGTCTTTTTAAAAAATTCTTTTTTTTTCTTCCCCCTCCCCTTTCTTTGGGGAGAAGGGAAGTGAGAACTGTGTCATATAAAATGGCTTCAAAGAGACAGCCGCCTTCTATAACATCTAAGGCGGTCTCTTCTCCTATAACTCTTACTGCACAATCACAACAACAATCTAAACATGTACCATCGACTCAGCCACCACCCTCCCCTCCTTTGCCAGGTCTGTCAGTATAAGAGGTTAAAGGCATAATGGGAGATGCTATGTCTCAAATGAGAGATGAAATGAAGCAATTTGTCATACAGATTAAATCCGAAATTAAAGAAGAGATAAGTGGGATAAAGAACTTATTAGAAGATAATAATACCATCTTGCGGCAAGATATAGTTGCAGCTGTATCAGGCTTGGCTACGGTGGTGGTGAAGCTGGATTCGAGACTAGAGGAAGTGGAAGATAAAGTTGATTCTTTTGATGTGAAATTTCAAGATGTGGAAAGGAAGGTGGAGACTTCACAAGAAGATATTCTTATGTTTCAGTACAGACAGATGGAGTATGCCTTGAGGATTAGAGGCCTTAAGGAAGACATGAATCAAGACCTGATGGAGATGGTGCTTACTGACTTAGCTAGTGCTCTGAATATGGATAAAGGAGAATTACGCAGAGAAGTGGAAAAAATTTATAGAGTCAACTCTTGGATTGCGAAGCAGAAGAATTTGCCTAGAGATGTGGTGATTTATTTTATAAAGAAGTCTCTGCGTAATGAAATTGTACAAGCCTTTTATAATAAGAGATTCCAGATTGCTTCCCAAGATATTATTATTTCAAAGGAAATCCCATCCAAAATCTTAAGAAATAGGAAAGATTTTTCTTTTCTAGTTAATGAGCTTAAAGCCAGATCGATGCCATTTAGATGGGAGATCCCGATGGGTATTGTTCTGAGCCATGCGGGGACGCGTTATAGATTGAATACGGTTGATAAAGCTAGAGAGTTTTATAATACGGTCCTGGGTGCAGGCTCAGCTTCATCTGTTCAGAAATCCTTGAGTGGCAAAGAGTTGGGGCAGCAATCTGAGGCATTAGGTCTGGTCTCTGCTGGGATGCTGCAAGCTGAATGGCAACGTCAAACGGAGGTTAAAGAGCAGAGAATGACCCGTGCAGCTTATAGACGTAAGGAGAAGGAGCAACGCAAGAAAGAGGCCAAAGAATCTTCTTCTGAAAGTGCTTCATCGCCGGTGGGAGGAGCAAGACCCAAGAGTTCTGCAACACATGCAGCAATGGCAGATCTCGAAGGAGTCTTCTCCGGGCTCCTGGCCAAGGGAGATGGCAAAGTTTCTGACCTGGAATGTTAATGGATTGAATTCTCCTCAGAAAAGGAAAAAAATCTTTTACTATTTGAAGCAACATAATAATGATGTTATTTGTTTACAGGAAACTCATATTTTATTTAAGGATCAGAAATATTTAGTTAATGCTCGTCTGGGATCTCATTTTGTATCTTCTGCTCCTGGGAAAAAGGGGGGAGTTGTTATCTATGTGAAGCAAAATTTACCAGCTTGTCTGGTAGAATCAGATCCCCAAGGAAGATATGTGATGATTGAACTTGGCTTATATGGTAAGAAAGTACTTATAGTGGGACTCTATGCACCAAATCAGCAACAGGAACAATTTTATAGGTTGTTACATCAAAAAATAACTTTGTTGGACTATAGATCCGTGGTACTAATGGGTGATTGGAACGGTGTCTTAGATATACAAAGGGATAAGAAAGGTTCTTCTCCTTTTTTTAAACAGGCAAAATTACCTAAAGCCTTTTTTGACATGAAAGAGGACTGGGAACTAAGGGATTATTGGCGAGAATGTAATCAAGAGGAGAGAGATTTCACCTTTTTTTCAGATAGACACCAATCCTTCTCAAGAATTGACTTTTTTTTTATTACAACAGACTTATATAATAGAGTAAAGAATGTAAAGATTTTTCCTAGGTCGTTGACAGATCATAGTCCAGTTTGGATGGAGCTGATTCAAGAAAAAGAGGAAAGAAGATCCTGGAGGGTGAATGAAAACCTATTCAGACAAGAAAAGAATGTTCAAAAGTTAAAGGAGTGTTTAAAGGATTATTTTGCTTTAAATATGTATAAGGGGACTTCAATGTCAATGGTATGGGATGCAGGTAAAGCATTTATGCGTGGGATCTTGATAAAAATGAATAACTGTCATAAGCAAAAGCAGATTCAGAAACGTAAAGAATTGGAAGATGAAATTAAATTAAAAGAAAAGTCTTTGATCTTAAATCCTTCTGATGAAAGCATCAAAGAATCTGTAAAGTTGTTAAGAACACAATTTAATATGTTGTTAGCAGATCAAGCTGCAACTAACTTATTGTTTATGAAACAAAATACATTTTGTAATGCTAATAAGCCAGGGAGATGGTTGGCTTATCAGTTAAGAAAGAAACAGAGACAGAGAATAATAGATAAAATAAATTATAAGGGTAAATTAGTCTCTCAGAAGGAATTGATTAAGAAATCTTTTTTGGATTATTACCAAAAATTATATTAATCTACCGATGTGCAAATCTTAGATATAAATAAATATTTAAGTGAGGCTAGTTTCCCCAAACTGACAGAGGATCAGAAACAGGAAATTAATGGCTTAATTACTAAGGAGGAGATTGCGTTAGCAATTCAACAATTGAAACCAGGGAAAGCAGAGAGATAAAAGCATTTTGGATTAAGATATGGTGGAATATCCAGAGAATTTTTAGAAGGAGGGTAAAATTTACTCCGCAATTATTTTTGTTGGGTA